ACGCTCCTACAGCACTGAGGTATGGCTTTTCTGGACCGAGAATTTCTTCATCGTCCTTCTTGGGACCAAATGGATCACTGTCCAATCCTAGGCTCCGGACAACCATTGGGCTGTTCAATAGGTGGGCCTGGTCCATATTGAATCGCTTGAGTACTTTTTCAATGTAAGCCGCTTGATGCACAAGGATTCCTCCTTTAACGTACTCAAGTTGTAAACCCAAACAGAATTTAGTTTTACCTAGGTCTTTCATTTCGAATTCTGCTTTCAAGCAGTCGACTGTTTGGGAGATTTCACCAGATGTTCCGAGGATGTTTAGGTCATCCACGTAAACTGCTATGATTACAAATCCTTTGTTTGAGTATTTCTTGATGAAAATGCATGGACTGATGGGATCGTTTTTGTAGCCTTCTTTGATGAGATATTCGCTTAACCGGTTATACCACATACGTCCACTTTGTTTCAGTCCATACAAGGATTTGTTCAGCCTGATGCAGTATTGATCTCGAGATGCATGCTTATCTTTAAGCTCTATGCCATCTGGTAATCTCATGTATATTTCATTGTCGAGGGGCCCATAGAGATATGCGGTGACAACATCCATTAACCGCAAATCTAGATTTTCTCTTATGGCCAGACTTATGAGGAATCGAAAAGTAGTTGCATCCACCACCGGAGAATAAGTCTCCTCATAATCGATTCCGGGTCTCTGTGAGAATCCTTGTGCTACAAGCCGTGCTTTATAACGAACGACTTCACCGAGTTCGTTTCTTTTACGCACAAAGACCCATTTATGGCCCACTGGTTTGACATTGAATGGTGTCCGGATGATCGGACCAAACACATTCCTGAGTTTGAGACTCTTTAACTCCACGTTTATGGCTTCTTTCCATTTTAGCCAGTCTGTTCTATGAGTGCACTCTATGATAGACGTGGGTTCTAGATCCTCTTGCGTGTTCGCAATATCAAGTGCTACTTTGTATGCAAAGAGTGCATTTAAGTCGACTTCTTTTCTGTTCCATTGGGTTCCAGACATGTTGTAATTGATAGAGATCTCATCGTTATCGATCTCGTCAGAACCTAGAGATTCGGCGTCCCGAACCTCTTCTGGTGGTTCATTAGAGTGAGTCTCAGCGCTCGCTATGTCTGTTATATTGGGAATCCCGGTTTCAACTATTGCACCTTTCTTTGATTTCCGTGGATTCTTGTCTTTGGAACCTAGAGGTCTGCCACGTTTATTTCGTGATGCAGACTCTGTAGCAACTTGAACTTGTCCCGTTGGAACAGTGATTCGTACTGGTGCATTACAAGCTGGTATGTACGATTTGGTTACTTTGTTCGGGTCAGCAAAGGAATCTGGCAATTGATTAGCTAGCTTTTGATAGTGTATAATCTTTTGGATCTCCGAATCACATTCTAGAGTCCGAGGATCTTGCCAATTTAAGGATGTTTGATTCCATGATAGCTCTTTGACCAGCTTGTGTTTCTCTCCACCCAATGTTGGATATACCGATTCATCAAATTGGCAATCCGCATATCTGGCCTTAAATAGGTCTCCAGTGGTCGGCTCGAGATATTTGATGATGGTGGGAGAATCAAAACCAACATATATTCCCATCCTCCTTTGAGGTCCCATTTTGGTTCTATGTGGTGGAGCAATGGGTACATAGACTGAGCACCCAAATGTTTTGAGATGGGAGATATCTGGCTCATGACCCTGTAATAATTGGGATGGGGAATATCTATGCTCACTAGATGGTCGGATGCGTATTAGTTCAGCAGCATGTAATACTGCATGTCCCCAAGCTGAGACCGGGAGTTTCGACCTCATGAGTAATGGTCGAGCAATCCATTGGATTCGTTTAATGAATGATTCAGCAAGTCCATTCTGAGTATGGACATGTGCCACAGGATGTTCAACGGTCACCCCCATGGCCATATAGTAATCATTAAACGCTTGGGAAGTGAATTCACCAGCATTATCAAGACGTATAGTCTTTAGTGGGAAGTCTGGAAAGTGAGCTCGTAATCTGATAATTTGAGCCAACAACCTAGCAAAAGCTTGGTTCCGAGAAGACAACAGGCATACATACGACCAACGGGTCGAAGCATCTATTAGTACCATGAAGTACCGGAATGTCCCAGAAGGTGGGTGAATGGGACCACAGATATCTCCTTGGATTCTTTCCAGAAAATGCAATGTCTCTTTGGACACTTTTACTGGTGAAGGGCCGGGTGATCAACTTCCCTTGGGAGCAAGTTGTGCACGTGAGGTGCTAAGGGAAGACTCGGTTTTCTCGAAGGGTGTGTCCTTGAGAACTTTGGATTAATTTACGCATGATAGTTGTACCGGGATGACCAAGCTGGTCGTGCCAAATAGTGTAATCTTGGAACCGGGCTTTGAGAGCATTATTAGCCTCAATCATACTGACCTTAGCATAGTAAAGGCCAGTAGATAATGCGGGTATAGTCTCGAGGACTTGTTTATGGCCAAGTGTGATCTTAGTGATCAGTAGGGATTCTTTATTCCCTTCACCCTGGGTTTCTATGTGGAAACCATTAAGCAAATCCCCAAAATGAAAAGAAACAAAATCAAAATAAGCAAGTGTTCAGATGATAGAATCAATCGAGGAGATCTGAGGTCTCGTAGTCCATGAGATCGGTCGGCTCGGTGGTGGTATCGTTAGCATCAACTTGCTGGGCCATGTTAGCTTCAGCAGGTGCTTTCTCATGTTTCTGATACAAATCGCAATGAAACTTGGGAGTACGACAGTTCTTTGTCCAGTGATTGAACATTCCGCATCTGGTACAGGCAGACTGATTGGTTGGGTGGGCAGGGCGGTTTGGTTAAGAGATACCACGGCCCTTACCGGAACCATAACCGAGGTTATGTCGGTTGCCACATCCATTTCTGCGTCCACGCTTTCCACGTCCATTCCTACGTCCATTGCCACGATCTGAGGATCTGTCTCGCTGGACATTGTAGGATTCTTTGCGGGAAACTGGTACTGGAGCCGATCCCGAGGGCCTCTGGGCACTGTTCCTCATTAACAGCTCGTTGTTTTTCTCGGCCAAGAGCAAACAAGATAACAAATCTTCGTACAATGTATGTTTCATTGCACGATATTGCTGCTGAAGCACAATGTTTTGGGTATGGAAGGTGGATAATGTTTTCTCGAGGAGATCATTATCAGACACCTCTTCACCACATAGTTTCATGATTGAAACTATCCGAAAGAGTTTGGAGTTGTAGTCATCCACAGATTTGTAATCTTGGAACCGGAGTTCCTTCCAGTCAAACTTGGCTTGTGGCAAGAGCACCGTTTTCTGGTGATCATACCGTTTTTTCAGGGCCACCCAAAGTTCAAGTGGGTTCTCAAGAGTGAGATATTGCTGTTTGAGGCTCGCGGCCAAATGATGGCGGATATGAAATATCGCCTGGGACCGGTCTTTATCAGATGCGGTGTTATCCGCTTTGATACACTCACCCAGTCCCTTTGAGTTGAGGAAAATCCTGGTGTCCAGGGCCCATTCGAGATAGTTTTCACCGGAGACCGTGAGGGCCTCGAACTCAACTTTCTGGATGTTTGACATATGAAAAACATGAAATTGATTTCATAAGGGGTTTGTTAAAAGGATAGTTATATGAAAATAATTAAATTTTCTATTTGAGGAAACCTTCTAAATGAGGAAAGTTTCTATTTGAGGAAACATTCTAAATGAGGAAAGTTTCTATTTGAGAAAAACTTTCTAAATGAGGAAAGTTTCTATTTGAGGAAACCTTCTAAATGAGAAAAGTTTCTAATTTGGGAAACTTTCTAAATGAGGAAAGTTTTCATTCCGGGTCATTTGCTATTTGAGGAAAGTTTCTATTTTAGGAAACCTTCTAAATGAGGAAAGTTTCTATTTGAGGAAAACTTTCTAAATGAGGAAAGTTTCTATTTGAGGAAACCTTCTAAATGAGGAAAGTTTCTAATTTGGGAAACTTTCTAAATGAGAAAAGTTTCTATTTGAGGAAAACTTTCTAAATGAGGAAAGTTTCTATTTGAGGAAACCTTCTAAATGAGGAAAATTTCTAATTTGGAAAACTTTCTAAATGAGGAAAGTTTCTATTTGAGGAAAACTTTCTAAATGAGGAAAGTTTCTATTTGAGGAAGGTTTCTATTTTAGGAAACTTTCTCGGGAATCGTAAATTTTAAGGATACGGAACATAAGTTCGGTTTAATGGTTTAAAGTTGGACCGAAATATTAGATTCCGGTTTGGGCCGAATTGATTTCCGGTTTAGAATAACCAGTTTGAACCGGTTTACCCAGATTGAGATCCGGTTATTATTTTTGGAACCGGTTATTATTCTTTAGGGTTTTGATGTTACCTTTCACCTTATGGGGTTGTATGGACTAGAACCGGGAGCTAAAGACCTCGGTAACTCACGCTGCTGCAACGAACCGCAAACAGTACCACGATGAACAGTACTGCGATGAACAGTGTCGCGATGAACAGTGTCGCGATGAACAGTGTCGTGATGAACAGTGTCGCAATGAATCAGTGCCGCGATGAACAGTGCCGCGATGAACAGTGTCGGCGATGAACAGTATCGGCGATGAACAGTATAGGCGATGAACAGTATCGGTGATGAACAGTATCGGCGATGAACAGTGTCGGCGATGAACAGTATCGGCGATGAACAGTATCGGCGATGAACAGTATCGGCGATGAACAGTATCGACGATGAACAGTGTCGATGAACAGTATCGGTGAACAGTGTCGGCGTGAACAGTGTTTTCGATTTTTAGGGTTAGGGTTGTTAAGAGCAAACTCGTGCTTATAACGTGTTGTGAAACTTATTGTTATCTTATTCCATTCCATGAATGATACATATATATAAGCATATAAACCTAGGGTTTTAGAGTACATAATGAATAACCCTGATGGGCTTATTGGGCCCAGTTATAAATCCAATATGATGTATTATAACAAAAGTAAAGTATTCTCTCTAAATTATAAATTAATAATTATTCGTCGCCCACTTGGTCCCATTTCTCAATCCTTCATCTATATCTATCTCCACATTTCATTGCATTGATTCTCTTACAAGCACTTTCTCCCTCAATCTTTATCTCTCCTCCATGTCTAAAATGTTTAGCAGAATTGCCATGACCAACTCTATTGTTCTTCTTCTGTTTTCCTTAACTTTCTTAGGTATCTTTTTTTGAATAATTGCTTATTCCTGTCTACCAAAAAGAAAAATTATTATTTCAATTTCAGATTGTCATTACACTTAATCTTAATTTCTATTACATTTTTTCACAGAACATGGATTGTTGTTTCAGAGGGTCTCCTCTCTTGGCATCAACTATGGTCAAGTCGGCGACAACCTTCCTCCACCGGACAAAGTTTTACAACTTTTGAGTTCACTCCATATCAATAAGACAAGAATCTACGACACAAACCCTCGAGTCTTAACCTCATTTGCCAATTCCAACATCGAGCTGTTCGTCACCGTGGAAAATGAAATGCTTCCCAGCTTAGTAGACCCTCAACAAGCTCTCCAATGGGTCAATACCCGTATCAAACCCTACTTTCCGGCCACCAAGATCGGGGGTATCGCCGTCGGCAACGAACTATACACCGACGATGACTCAAGCCTTATAGGGTTTGTTACATACATCACCTCAATTCCTATAAATTGTTATCCTTTTCAAATCTTGGCCCATTACAAATATACCTTATTAACCAAATCATGGTAGTCATGTGGGTATCATACTGCGATCGACTTAGCCCATGTTTTGTTTCAGGATTCTCTGGTTCAAAAAAAAAAGGTAATCAACCTTGTTATTGCTATTTTTCGCAGGTATCTTGTGCCTGCAATGATGAGCATTCATGGTGCTTTGGTCCAAACCGGACTAGACAAGTACATTCAAGTATCAACTCCGAATTCACTATCGGTTCTTCAAGAATCTTACCCTCCCTCTGCCGGATGTTTTAGGCCGGAGGTAGCTGGCGTAATGACGCAGCTCCTAGGTTTCTTGCGTAACACGAAATCCCCCTTCTGGATCAACGCTTACCCTTACTTCGCTTACAAGGATTCCCCAACAAAGATCCCATTAGACTACGTCCTCTTCAACCCTAACCCTGGAATGGTTGACCCCTACACCAAGTACCACTATGACAACATGCTCTACGCTCAAGTAGACGCTGTGATCTTCGCCATGGCGAGGCTTGGCTTCAAAGACATCGAAGTTGGGGTCTCAGAGACTGGATGGCCGTCTAAAGGCGATGGAGATGAGGTTGGAGCTACTGTGGCCAACGCAGCGGTTTATAACAAAAATCTTCTAAGGAGACAACTTCAAAATGAAGGAACGCCATTGAGACCAAACTTGAGTTTTGATGTTTATCTCTTTGCTCTTTTCAATGAAGACCTTAAACCAGGACCAACCTCTGAGAGGAACTATGGATTATATCAGCCTGATGAGACCATGGCTTACAATGTAGGTTTATTATCATCGTCATCATCAACAACAACATCAACATCTACCTCTTCAACCTCTATTATTTCCCTCACTTCCTCTGCCTCCACGGTATTTATCATCATTTAACTTTACCTACTCTGTTTCTACTAGGTCCCTACTTATATATTTCTTTTATTTTTGTCTTGAAATATCACATTAAATATCTTGGGAAAAGCTTTGATTGAGAAACATTTTTTAAAACAAATTCTGACGTGTTGTTTAAAAAAGAAGTGAATTGTGACGTTTTTTTCTTCTAATTGTGACGTTTAATACTTGAAAAGTTCGGCTTTTCTAGAACTTATTCTTACCAAACATATTTATTTTAAACATATTTCTAATTAATAATGATAAAGGCAGATTTTTGTTTGGAGCGGTATGATTAGTACTCACTAGTGTGATATTTATGATTATCGTCACCACTTTTAAATACACATTAGTTAATTAAAAATTTGTGATCTTAATTATTACTTATTTATGATTTTTTATTGTAAACAGGCTATAAAGAAGGGAAAGCAACAATTGATGTATTGGACATGCGTTTATTTGTTGGCCATTCACATGCTAATTAGAAGACCGTACTAGAAGCAAAAACAAATTGAGAGAGCTTTTACGTGTAAATAGAGAGAGTCCACTAATGCGGTTCATTTTTTCAACGAGAAGAATTAAACTATTCTCAAAAGTATCTCAGATGATTCTTTGAAGGGGAAAAAAGAAACAAACAGAAAATTTGTTCCGAGTAATTAATTAATTAACATCAGAAGGGGGATGCAGTACTGCAAGCGAATCCTTATGTATATAAAAACTGACGATTCATATTAGAACTGTATTTGTATTTGTGTTAATTAATTAGTTTCATTGTTTGTCTACATAAAAATGTTTTATGATTTGGTCCGTCCATATAATTTTTAAGTGTTTTCAAGGAGGTAAAACAATATAGTATTAATATAGAATACTGAAGATGGTTTATTAAAAGCTATATAAAAAAAAATATTAAGCTGTAGGTTTTTTCACAAGTGGTTGAAATCAATCGATAAGGTATACAATAATGATTCATGAATCATATGGGAACGATCGTGTACATATATTGTGATTCAGTGTCATTCGAGGCTTTACAAATTAAAACACATTCATTGCAAGTTTGCAACATTACATGAAAATGGTTGATTTCAAACTATATACTACATATGAATGATATTTCAGAAAGGTAAAGAAATTAATTTTAGATAACAAGAACTCATATATACTATATTACTACTTTTATAAGTGAAGAATAAATATATAATTATTATTGCTAAGCAGAAAATAGTGTGCATTTTTTCAACACTCCAACTTTTTTTTTTTTTTTTTGTGCACCACAACACTCCAACTTTAAAGTACATATTATATAATGATATCAGATATTTATTGTATAAAAAAGAGACGATATCATATTTTATTTAGAAATTTATTGATTGGTCACACCGAAGGTGAAGGCTCTTTTATCTTTTATCTTTTGGACGTGGAATCCATAAACCTTAGACATACGATACCTTCATTTTTCATCTCACCGTCGACATTCGATATTTTAATACCATTGTCTGCTCTTACACACACATGCATGCATGTATGTCTTCGTACTTGCACGGTGCACACACATGGCACTACTCATACATGCACACATGACACATGTATGAATGTGTAAATGTGTGTGGGATATTCACTAATTCACCAACTGATCTATCCATAATAGTTTTATTGTTGGACGGTAAAAGAGGGATATATATCGATGCTTCCTTTTTCTAACGGGAGAGAAAGAAGAAGTTAAAAATGATCAAAAGTGAAACTAAAATTTATTTTATTAGGAAGCATATAAATAGATATGGACGGTCCCAACTTTATTCCACGACCATGTTTTAAGTCGTCAGCATTTTGACAATAGTCATTGGCCGTCCCTTTTCAAAGGAGCTTTCTCTCCTTCAAATTTTCTATTTCCTACTTTTTTCTCTAGATTCAATTGTTACTTATTTGTTTAAAACAACATGTTTATTAAATAAGGAATATCTTCATCGCTTTTCCTATTCCTTTCTGGTTTTGTAAAATCCATCCCGGTTTAACAGTCTTAAAAATGCGACCAGCTATTATGAGTTTAAATCTGGAAATTGTCAGTAACACTCTTTAAATAGCTCTCGTAAATTTAGCGACGACTGATTATACTGTTCATATAATGCTGAAAAGGGTTTTAAATGATAATATTGTTCACATCTAAAGTAATTCTCATCAGATCGTTTACATTTTGAATGTTGTTTCTCATTAGAATTTACGAGTATTATTCGAATATCAATTTTATTTAGAGTGTCATAAAAAAGTAAAATTAACTTTTCTCTCTCTTTTGTTTTGTCTAAAATGTCTTCATTCTGATATTGAGACAATTTGGTAACGTCCAATTCAAAAATAATTTTCTAAAATATAATATATCAAAAGAAAAAAGTGAGAATTTTTGTTGATGCATACATGATTGAATGAATTATTCGTAACAGAGACAAGTTAAGCTCATATTAGTTATACAAAGATGTCAATCAAACGCAACTCCATGTTAGCACATGGTTACCTTTGGCTCAGAGATGATATCAATTATCATAGCTTTATAATGTAAGAATAAAATTATCGTTAGGTGCTGTTTCATGTATACATATTAATATATGTAACACTGAATCTTCTACTTCAAAGCAAAGCTAAATCTAGCTAATAAATGTGATAACAATTGAAACATGTAACAAAACAAAAAAAAATTGTAACATGTATATTTATTTTCTAGTCGGTCAATTATGTTTTTATCTCCCTCTTTATCGGGCACTAATCCAAAAATGGCGACAATCATCTCTTCTTTTTGGAGGCTCGAGGAATGAGTTGAAAATTGTAGATTATCTTTATTTTACATTTATCCAAAGTTATTCTAAAACGAATAGAAATAAGAAAATTAAAGATACTTTTAAATAGAATGAAAAGTGAAAAAAAAAAGTAGAATCTAGAATAATTTTTTTTTTCTATTGCTTCGTAAACAAAAAAAAAAGTAGAATCTAGAATAAATTGTGTTATTGATAATTTTTTTAGAGTACATAAGTGGATGATGAGAAAAAAAAAAAAAGTATATAAGTGGACATAAAATATATGTAGGACCACAGTGGTAGATTAAAATTTCCAATAACTTTTTTTTCTTCTTAAAAATCTTATTTATTAAAAAACTACTTAATGTCATAACAATAAAGTCATGCAGTTATTCAAAACCTACAAAAAGTATAAAGAAAGGGTACATTAAATGCACAACTACAATCGAAACATCCGCTTCGATTGGCTTAGTGGCTAGGCTATTGGAGACAATTAGCCACGACCACCTCGTTTCCCACGACCTATGCCCCTTCCACGACATGTGTTTTGTCCATGCATCTCCTTAGCTTTTGTTGATGGTTTAACCGGCCTCTCTCGAAGGATTCTTTTACCCGAAGGAGTCATAAGATCCATTGAATCAGATTCGTTGTCTGAATCGGACAAATCTTCTTCCTCATCCGAAGAAATCAATGAAGCAAACTGATTAGAACCAAGATTATGATCAGCAGATTTAGCCCTCTCCCTGCGGACAGTAGCATTTGCATGAGCATGAGCAGTAGCATTCCAGTAACTTAAATCTAGAATAAAAGTTTCTCTTGAAAAACACATAAATTGTTTGATAACAAAATGTTAACTCTTTTAGAAAACAGACTTTTAACATTCATGGAGTTAGATTTGGAGACGTCTCACTGTTACAAACTCAAAACTTGACTCCATTTGCAAGCTTATCTTCCAAGCTGTTGTCTACATTTTGTGGAAAGAAAGGGACTTAAGGTAATAAGGTTGCATAATAATGTCTTCAAATCTTGTCCTCACAGAGACAAAGACTTAGACTAGACTATTCTCAAAGGGAACCTTGTTGGCTTTTATCGTAATCTTTCCGGTAAGGACGGCTGCAGCTTCTTCTTCATATAATCCTCTTCAAGTGAATTTTACTTAATGGGCTTGGGTCTGTATGAAAGAACAAAGCCCACGAAGCTATAACACCATAATGGTTAATAATAAATAAATAAATGACGAGGTCTTCTAGTACTTTCCAGGTTCCACAAGACTCTCTCATTGCCTTGGCTTTGTGTCTTGTAATAATATACTATAAAACAAAATTTCGCAACCTTTGTCTGTCCAGATTCTACGTTTTCGTTTTCTCTGAAAAAAGCTGCTCGAAGATTATTTCCATGGCGGAAGAAGTTGCGCTTGATTTGGATGAACTCAGGCAACTCCAGAACATCGCCAAGAGACCTCGTGTTCTGAATCTCATCAATTCCGAGATTTCCAACTTGGAGAAGGTACCAATTCCCCCTTTTACCCTTTTCTCGCCATTATCGTTACCTTACAATTGTTAGGTTATATTATAAGTAGTTGCTCTTATCTGAAATGGAACAGTACTTTGATTAGTTTTGAGTTTCCCAGAAGAAAGAACTATTTCATTCTGTGTATGTGTGTGTTCTGAATTTCTGGAACTTTGATTTAGTTGTCACTGTATAATGATAAGGAACAAAAAAAGGATTACTTTTGAGTTCTATTGGTGAATTGGTTATAAACTAATCTCTTAGGATTGTGTTAACAAAGCTCTACTTTGATATCTGATTAGTTTGAATCTTGTTCTCTGTAGCTAAGAGACTCTGCAGTCAGTTCAAGTGCAAAGCCAGAGGTCCCGGTTACTGTTCCTGCACCGGTTTCATCTTCGGTTAAGCCGGTTTCTTCGGCAGTGAACTACGTAACTCTCGGAACATTCAGCTGGGATCAAGACAGTGAAAAAGTCAAGGTAAACCTATTCAGAGGTTTCCTAAATCAAGATTTCATTGTGTGGCTTTTCTCTGGTTATTATAATGAAGTTTCTTATTGCTGCTTTGTTTTTTTTTGTTTTTACAGATGTACATATCCTTGGAAGGTATTGATGAGGACAAGGTTCAAGCTGAGTTCAAGCCAATGTCTTTGGACATCAAAATCCATGATGTTCAAGGGAAGAATTACCGATGTGCCATCCCGAAGTTGCATAAGGAGATTGTGCCAGAGAAATGTAAAGTGCTTGTAAAGCCTAAGAGGATAGTTATCACAATGTTCAAGTCTTTCAGAGGAAACTGGCTTGACATTCACCACAAAGAAGATAAGGTAAAAACCTAAAACAAAAGAACATCTTGTTGTTGTAGCTTTTTGTCTGGTGAAACTAAATCTAATGGTAAAATGTTTATTGTTTGTTCAGATAAAACCGAGTTTGGAGAAAGAGAAAGACCCAATGGCTGGAATTATGGGCATGATGAAGGTAAATGATCTCTTAATTCGTGAGGCTGAGAAACATGTTTGTGCATTTCACATTGGTTGCTTATGGTTTCTTTTCTTTTGTCTTAACACTGCAGAACTTGTATGAAGATGGAGATGAAGAAATGAAGAAGACAATAGCTAAAGCTTGGACAGATGCTAGGTCAGGCAAAGCAGCAGATCCTTTAAAAGGACTATGAAGCTTCTGTGACATCTTTTGTAACCGAGCACCGTATGCTTTATGTTCTAGTGACTGTATCTGTGAAAGAACTTTTTTTTTTTCTGTGAAAGAACTTAGCAAAAGCAAAACATCTATTTTTTGAGTTTAGTCGAAATGTTGCTTTTACTGTTTTGGATATTGTTTGGTCATAAGTCATAACCATTCGAACCTTGATATTCTCGAGCAACTAGAAGCCTTCACTTCTTGATAGAGACGACGAGATTATTGAGCAAACCTTGCTTGCTCTGAAATGTTTCAGCTCACGGGATTTTGTGTTGCAGATTTTGGTACCTATGCCTTTGAAATAGCTTCCGCATGGCCCGTAGTGAGATGGCCTATACGGGCTTCACCGGTCCATATACTAATAGTTGACCTTTTCCATCGGTTGACCGATTTAACACACCTATTTATAATTAATTATCTGTATCAGATTTTAAAATACCTAAGACGTGGTTACTTGTAAGTTGATACAAAAAGAGTCTGTTACGCCTTGACACTCGAGCATAAGTAAAACATAATTTACAACATTTTAAATTCACTTTTATGTATTTTTAAACAAAACAAAACAAAACAAAAAGTCAATAAAACTGCCTTGGAAAAACGATTTACATGAAGGCAGAGGGCAAAAATGTTCATATATATCAATCAAGAAGCAAGTATAAGCCACTATTACAAATAGATTACGCCAAAAGTGAAGTCAAAGTTATTAATCAATATCAAAACTAATAACAAAAATTTCGAAACAGACATAATCAAAATGATATATAGTAAAATGTCATCAATTCTAAACAGAGAGCTGCGACGATGGTAGCTGTGACGATGGTCTCTTACCATCATCTGTGTATCCCAAAGAAATTGGTCGTACCGGTTTAGGACTCTCAACCGCAACATCACTAGCCGAACTCTGCTGAACCAAAACCGGATAAATGTCGGTAGAAACCGAAAGCCGAGAAGGCGAAGCAGGGGAAGAAGGCGAAGGCGAGATTGAAGGCAATTCAGAAGCCGAATACGAAGCCATAGAAAGCGTTCTAGTGATTGAAGGATTAACTTCAGCAACTTCTTCAATACCTTCATCTATATAAACAACATCTTGCATTGTTAACTGATGATATTCGACGATTTCTCTCAAGAATCGGTTTTCTCTAGCGTAAATCGAGTTTTCGTGCGCTAATCTCGCTTTCTCTGCCAATAATGTCTCTAGCTGAAGCCTAATTAGGTCATCATCAGCTGGATTGTTATTACCTTTATCTCGGTTATCTCTTAACCGTTTGTTTTCTTCTTCCAATTGCGCGCATCGTTCTTTAGCGAAAGCTAAATCGGCTTTAACCGTTTTCAATTCACGGAGGAGAAGCTTGGCTTTAGCTGCTGTAGCCATGGCTACATCACGTGAAGCTTTGAGTTGAGACTCATGTGGGTTTGGTTGTGTTAATGGTTGCCATGGACTGCTTGATCCAGAGGATTGGTTATAATTGTTGTTGTCTGAATCGATTAGATCAGATCCTTTTCGTCTGATTTGTGAAGCTACGATCGTACGACCTTCCTCGAACGCTTTCTCGAAACTATCTCCGATATGATTCAGAGACGTTGTGATCTTATCTATGCTTTTGCGTATGGTTGGATTCGAGGGTTCGAAAACGACGTCGTTTTGTTGTTGTTCTTCTTCTTCGTCTTCGAGGATTGATTTAGCTTTTTGAGCTAAGATTCCCCAGAATCCACGACTCTCGCTCTTATCTTCGTAAGCCGTGAATCCTTGAGCCTGAGATTGGATGAATTTTAGGTTTCTTGTCGGAAAAGTAATCTTATGAAGAGAGAAAAAGAGAGATCAGACCTGGGAGGAGGCACGGATTGCTTGAGCGGCAAGGGAGGAATGAGAAGAGAAAGATTGAGAAGATCTGAAGGATCCGCCATTGGAGTGACCTTTGAGATCACCGTGATCGTGATCTGGTGGTTGATGATAGATGTCTTCTTTGAATGTTGAAGCTCTTGTGATCCCTTGTCTTCTCCGATACGCCATTTTTGTTCTTCTTTGTTTTGATTCTCTCTCTGTTTTCTTCTTATATTTTTGGTTGTTTTTGTTGATATTAAGAAATTTGTTTATCACAATTTTTACAATCTATGATCCTCTGGTTTTACGTAATTCACGTTCTTTAATAATCAGAAAAGAAAACCACCATCAAACGTGGCTTAGTAAAATGGGTTGACTCCTAAATATGTATGTAATGCGCTGTTTAATGGGCTATAATAGTGATGGGCCAACGGCTCACTAAGGCTGAATTTTCAGAATCAATGTAAATGTTTTTTGATAATTAAAAATATGCTGTTAAAAACTTTTGACTTTAAATCAGTGATAGTCTAGAACTTATTTAAATAAAAATTAATAGCATTGTTAATCAATGATAAATTTAGGAATTATGATATATAATGGGTTACAAATTCAAGAGATGACTTGGAACCCACAAGAAGATTGATTTGGTAGAAGTATTTTAAACTCAGAAAGTTCCCAACTTTCTATGTAAAGAATGAAAGAATGTCAAAAGGTTTCAATTAAAAGGAAAAACATTACGCAAGAATGTCAAAAAGCTTCAATCTTACCTTTTTCCATATAGAATGGCCAGTTTAGATTTGGAAGTTTACGGATGCAATAATTTACTTTAAACCAAAGAGATTTCGTTTTTAATTAATTTTTATGTGACCATTTTCATAGTATTCACTAGTCAGTCAAAATATGTTTGAAAGATGTTTCTTAATCAGATTATATCATACGCTAAAACATCCTAACTTTTATATATGTAGACAATCATAATTTTGCCAAGCAAAAACTGGAGCGGGTAATCTAAAATCGATACTTAACTTCGACCATTAATTTATACAATATCAAACACAATATTAACAAGATTTTGTTTTCCTTCTAAATATGATTACTTCTCCACTCAATCAAATATAAATACTTTTACCAAAAGTAAAATTAATTTAATGACATACTAACGATAGCAAACCATTTGTAAAAAGTTCTTTCTCGCAGGGAAATTGTCTCTGTGAGAACTGAGAAGAAACAAAAATGAAGAAGAAATTGTCTCTTATAAATCGTGTAGTTGATTTATTCAGTTTTAGATTTTGTAGTACATGTAAAGATATCCCTATTTCAGAAGTACGTTTGAATCTTGACTTTTCATAACCACAAATGATTTCATTTTTCTAATCTAAAACTCATTCTATTCTTAAGAGAAATAGTTTATTCTATTTTCTGATTTAATTGCAAATTTAGTGTTATCGATTAAAGTTATACGTGGATATAATAAGTCAAGAATCAAATCTCACCAATTACGAATTTTCAATGTTATCATAAAATCATTAGCTATTGTAGATGTTTCAACTTGCTAAAAAATTAAATAGTATTTTTTAAGTTTATTTTAGATTTCCAATTTGATATCTAGGATCTATTCGGTGAACGATGATAAAAGAAAACTTTTTTTTTGTTAAAACAAATTCTTCTTATTATCAAAAAAGAAAATAACTATATTTAAAAGATCCCCGTCGAGCCAAAGCTTGGTGTAAAATTGTAACATCATTTGTACAGTGACAACAATAACACACTTCAAATATATAAACAATTTCGTACATATTAAATTATATAAGCAATGTCCCTCTTTCTATTTATTATTATTTTTTTTAAATATTTGGATCAACAAAGTCCGATCCATAGCCAATTTCTACTATGCAGAGTAACGTGACTTACTGGAGTCGAACTCCGGTGGAGAATGCGGAGTCAAGTGGACTTATCCACTTGACTAAAGGTAGATCCTTTTTCTATTTCTTGTTTTGTAAATAATTTTTGAGATAATTAGTTCAGAAGTAAAGATAAAATTAGTTTTTGATAAAATCTTGTCGGGGTCTAAAACAATTCTAATATTAGCCCATTCTCTTTCCATATTTTTAGTCCATTCTCCCATAATTTTTTTAGTGTAGTTATTTTCCCTATCTAAATTGAAAAGATGCAAATCTACAATACAAAAGGGCCCAACATGAGCTGGCTTTGGACCCGCATATGCACTAAAAAGCTGCATACAGTCCCATCGTGCTCTTTTCTATTTAATGAAAATAATTTTCACATGGTATATTTGGGTAAAAATTATGTTTTATAAATTTTTAAGTGGACGAGAATTCAATTTCATATAGAATAATTTTAATTTACACAATTACACGACACCCTTATTTGATAGAAACACCAACAAATTCCTATAAACTGATATGTCCAGTACGTGTCTCAGAAACTGTGTCGTATGATTTCCATGCAGTCATAAACCTTTGTTATAGTTGGACGCTATTACTATTTCTCGCTAGTTTATCTTTAGGAATGTAAGGTAAGTACTGAAATATATGGAGTGAAAAAGGTACGATTTAAATGTTTTAGTTAATGTTCAAAAAATATTGTTTTACGTATTCAACAGCTACTGCTAGTTAACATTAAACATTATGTTTGTTCTAAACTTCTAATCATCAATCGTGATAAAATTTTGAATAAATTCTTTTTGGTATTTTGAAACATTCTTTTCCCCATTTTTTATTTTTACGGATATACACAAGTTTTTGTGACAAAATATCCAAACACTTGAAAATATCCAGTTTTGTGACCATCTATAGTTGTCAAATGGGAGTACAACAGCTACCTATCATGGATATCTTCGAAACAGTACCGACCCATCAATCTTACCATTGTACAACCACAACTTCGTTAAAACTGAGAAAGTCTGGTATTGGAGTAATGTAACTATATTAATTAATGTACCATAATGCAACTAATTTACTTATATCATCTAGGGTAGGTGAGTCGGAGTCTATATATCAAGACCATTGTCCATTAGAGTAATAAAAGTAAAAACAAAGATCAAATACTATGGTAGTAGTTCTTTAACAGAAAAAAAAAAAAAAAATGAGAGCACAATCGTTGCATCGATAATTGTGCCATCTCTCTCTCTTGAAGGCGATTTCCGGTTTCAGATCTAGGTTTTTTCAGTTCTTTTTCTGGTCTTAACGGCGGCGGAGGCCTCTCGAAGGTGGCCCAGGAGTGAGTCTTTGTGCTTCTCCGTCAACAGAGGTGTGGTGCTTCC